CTTTAAGTCCTAAAGCCTTTCCAGATCGAGCCATGGTGTGTGTGTGTGTGTGTGTGTGTGTGTGTGTGTGTGTGTGTGTGTATTGACAGTTTAATGAGAAATGAGTTTGCTCTGCAAACCTTTATCCAAAGCACAATTTAAAAAAAGGAAAAAAAAAATTCTATTTTAAAGGTGCACAGGCAAAACTATGTGAATGAGTGTCCTGTGGCAGCCATAACAAAATACTGCACGCTGAGGGGCTTAAAACCACACACATTTACTCTCTCTCAGTTCTGGAGGGCAGAGTCTGAAATTAAGGTGTAGGCAGGGCCGCTCCCTCCAGAGGCTCTAGGGGAGGGTCCTTCCTTGTCTCTCCCAGCTTCTGGTGGCCCCAGGCGTTGCTGGGCTTGTGGTGGCATCACTCCAGTCTCTGCCTCCATCTTCACACGTCATGGTGTTTTCAGTCGCCTTGTATGCATGTGAAAGCTGAACAATGGGTACAGAAGATCAAAGAAGAATTGATGCCTTTGAATTACGGTGTTGGTGAAGAATATTAAATATACCATGGACTGCCAGAAGAACGAACAAATCCGTCTTGGAAGAACAGCCAGAATGCTCCTTAGAAATAAGGATGGCAAGACTTTGTCTCACATACTTTGGACATGTTATCAGGAGAAACCAGTCCCTGGACAAGGACATCATGCTTGGAAAAGTGGAGGGTCAGCGAAAAAGAGGAAGAACCCTCAACACAGTGGCCGCAACAGTGGGCTCAAGCATAACAATGGTTGTGAGGATGGCGCAGGACGGGGTGGTGTTTCGTTCTGTTGTACATGGGGTCACTATGAGTTGGAACCAACTCGATGGCACCTAACAACAACAATTATTACAAACAGTGCTATAATGAACAAACTTGTCCATTTATCTTTCTGAGGGATAAATTCCTGGTTCAAACAGTTTGCACGTTTTATCTTTTATCAGAAGCTGATTGACTGGGTTTTCCTAGGCCTATGCTGGCAGGACAAAGGAAGCAATGGGGACTAACGGGTGAAACAAGGGTTCTGAATCTGAAATTCCAGGCCCATCACTTCCTTAACTGTGTGACACAGGAATTACATGACCTCTTTTTTTATCATATATAAAACAGGACTAATGCTTAACTCATGGAATTATTGTAAGAAATAGTGAAATAACATATTACCAGCACAGTGCTGAGCAGAGTTGAGACACACAAACAGCCATTATTAGTATTATTACTGTTACTGCTGCTGCTACGAACTTCTGCTCCCTCTTTTCAAGGCCCAGTTCAAGCTCCTCTAGAAAGCCTTGCACGTGATTTCAGTTTATAGGACCCTCTGATTACAAACTGCTACAGAAGTGATTGTCTCTGTCACTCATGTCAACATGGCACTTGCCTTTTTTTTTTTTTTTTTTCTGTACATGAATATCTTGTCAGCTCACCTAGACTCGGTTTCAGAAGGTTAAGGACCATGGCTTATGCTACCTTCACCTCCATTACCTACCACACTGCCCTGCTCAGTCAACAAAAATCAACAATAATCGCTGTCCCCAAGCCCTTTGTCAGAACTGCCTGAATGTCTGGTTTTCTGCCTCCCTTCAGATGTCCTGCGGTTTGACAACACCTACAGCTTCATTCATGCCAAGAAGGTCAGTTTCACTGTGGAGGTCCTGCTTCCAGACAAAGCCTCAGAAGAAAAGATGAAACAACTGGGGGCAGTCACCCCAAAGTAATGCCTACTCCCACAGCAGGCCTGGCCCCCTCAGTGTCTCCCTGTCAGTTTCCACCCCTTGTGGCAGTCATTTTCTTAGCACCCTGCAGCCCAAAGAAACTGGGCTGAAGGAAAGACTCCTGGCTGGATCTGGGGAGCCTTCATCTCAGGGAGAGAAAGGGTGGTTGGAGTGGATCTCCTTGCTTCTGAAATTACTAAGGAGTCCCAGGGGCTGGGCACCATGATAGGATCTATTGATCTTGTAAGCTGTGCCAACTTCACCTGTCCAGTGACAGCTAAGACAGGGAGGGGGGGACCTTGGGGTGACAGCAGGGAAGAAATTAGAAAAAGGGGAGAGAGACTGAGACCTAATGTTTCAGGGAAGCCAGCTGTAGGGGAGGAACTTGCCCCCACATGAACATGTAAGTCTAGATCATAATGGGGAGTAGCAAGGTAGCCAGTTGCTAGAATTACGGTGGGGATCAGAGCTTTCCAGACTTTCCATCACTGAGGCCAGGGGAGCTTTGGGCTTTTCCCAGGTCTTGGGAGGTGGCCTGAGTCAGCATAGATTTTCCCACTCAGGGGTAGATAAGCAGGCCTCTCCCTCACCCTGAAAACTTCAGCAACTCCTGGGTGCCACTGGCTGCCTCTGTAATTACTAGTGATTGTCAGTGACTCTACTTCCTGGGAGAGTGAGCTTGGGTACCCAGCCACTGTCCTCCAACGCAAACAAAGCACAAGGGAAATTACCTCCAGGAATCCCAGCCCAGTGAAAAGCCAGGGAGGCTGGGGCGGGAGTGAGCCCTGGGCCTTCCATTTCCCTTTCACTGCCGCTGGCCTCTCACGGAGTAACCCTCCTTCTGAGCACCCCAGACAAAAATGACACTTAGGATCATGACAACAGCACACAGGGCATTTCCCAGCCTGAGTCTTTCCCCTGGCAGCCAACCCGCTTCCTGACTGACCTGAGCGGGGTCTTCGCAGTCCCATCTCTGGGAGACGCATGGCGGGTGCAGAGGGCCCCTCGTGCCCCGCGATGGACCAGGTGAGGCAGCTGCCAGGGCAGGAGGCCAAAGGCCAGGTCAGCATCTTACACAACCAGGGTCTGGGGCAGCACCAGGCGGCCTCGCTGGCCCTCAGCCCCTCCGTCCGCGGGGCCTCCAAGCAGGCATGGGCCGTGGGGGCAGTCGGCGACAGTCTGGGGGCTATAGGACACCGGCCCTGCGGGCAGCCACAGCACTTAACCCGAACCACGTCCTTCTGCGGATGAACGCGAGGTCCTGGGCTGCCTAGAACACGTGAGGGCGCCCCTGTCCTTCGCGGGAACGCCTGTCCCTCAGAAACCCAGGCCCTGGCCCAGCTTGGGAAGCTCGACTTGCCGAAGCCCAGGGAGCACTAGGCAGGGCTGATGTGGACGAGTGGTGGCCCCAGCCACACTCCTTGGTTTATAACGCTCTGTTAGGAACATTAACCAATGAATAAAGCAACGTTCAGTGCATAGGGAGTGGAATTTAATGCCTCGCTCCTTGTTCCTCGCTGCCCTTCACTCAGAGGCCCAAACTTCTGCCTCTGGGAGCCCAGCAACGGCTTCCCGCCAATAGGCGGAACGCACGCGCTGAAACTCTGCCTTGCTCTCTCGTGTACGCCTTTCCTAGGGCCTAACTGCCAAGTCCCCTCCTCCTTGGCTCAGCCGGTATGTTATCCTCCGCCATCTTTTCTAAGGGCGATGATAGTGCTCCTGACCGCCTTCACGGTGAGGGCAGAGGCCCCACCCCGTTTAGGATTCTCCTTGAGCGCTAGCGGCTCTGGAGCGCTGACCAGGGCGGGTCCTGGCGAGAGCGTGCAGGGACCGGGAGTGCGAAGGAGGCGGAGAAGCGGAATCACGTGGTACGAGGGACCGTCTCCTAATTCCGCGCCAACACTCCCGGTGTTTCAGGGGCTGAGGACTGCTTTGAGCCCCGGAGCCCAGCTCCCTGCGAGATCAGCACTGGCTGGGTTGTCTTACAGGACCCTAAGATGTCAGTGGCGCCCAGGATTGAAAACTTGGCTCTTAACAGGGAATCAATCATCTTCGTTTTCCCCATCTTTATTTGATTATACTCAAAGCTAACCCTTAATGAGCGCCCACTGTGTACCACGCAACAACTGTCTTTACCGCCTTGGGTTGTTGCCAAGATTCAAGGAAATAATTCGTGCAAAGCGTTCAGAAGACAGCCTGGTACAAGTAAATAACGGCTACTTTCATTTTTTACAAACGTGGGAACTGAGGCTCAGGGAGGCTAACAGCTAATATGCGCCACCGCAGGGGCTTGAACCCAGGACTGCATGTTTCTAATGGCATGCCTTTGCCTCTCTGACATTCCGAGTTTTAGTGAATTGTAGCCGCTCCCATTGCTCAGATGGGTACACTGAGTTCTAGCAGAGGAAGGGGATCCTCCTGCTGTAAACACTAACCTCCAAGATGTTCCGCTCATTTCCCTGTACTACAACCCGTCCTCCCTTCTCATTCATTCATTCATTCAAAGTCCGGCCCCAGAGAGGCTCTGTTTGGAGCCAGACCAATCCCAGTTAGACCCGGGTGCTTGATAGATGAACATGACACCTGCCTGGAATAGACTTAAGAGTCCAGGCATCCATCTCGCCAGGGAACACACCACTCACTCCTCCAGTCTCATTTAGTGAGCTCACTGGAACAGCATGGGCTCTGGAGCCACACTGCCTGCATTCAAATCCCGGCTCCACCTCTTAAGCAGATGTATGACCTGACAAAGTGACCCACCAGCTAGAGTCCTTAGCGAACGGCCCGGGCCGGGCCGGTAGTAAGCTCAGTAAATGTGACTGTTATAATTAATTCCCCGCACTGTCCTAGGGAGTGGACCCTGTCGTGACCCCCAGTTTACAGATGAGTAAAACGAGGTTCAGCTAAGTAGAGACTTTTGCCCAAGGTTAAACAGCTAGGGAGTGTGACATCCGAATTCGAACCCAGGCCTCTTTGGCTCCCCAAACCACAGTCAGCGCTGGGAGAGGGGCAGAGAGAAGGCACCGCCCTCTCAGCCCAGAGAAAACATAAAATCAATCAGGAAAACCCGAACCCGGAAGAGGAGCTCCTGTGCTCGGGGGAATTTGCAGACGCTCCCTGCGAGCGGAAACAGCACGAATTGTCCTTCAGCCAAGGACCTTGGGCCGGTTCTGCCGCGGCCGACAGGGGCGCTAGTGGAGATCGAGGTGTCAGAGGTGGTTGCAGTGGCCGGGACCGCGGCGGGAGCGCCATGCCTGAGCGGCGGGCCGCTGAGCGTGACCTCTACCGAGACACGTGGGTGCGGTACCTGGGTGAGCGCGGGCGAGGGGCGCGATGATCCCCTCACCACCATGTGCCTGGAGTGATAAGGGGCGCTAGGTGCCAGCCCGTAGCGAGGAGGAGGCTGGAGGGTCTTCTTATTCTGCCTGGGGCCGGAGACTGGGCTCAAAGAGGCTAGGGACTTGCCCAAGGTCACACAGCGCTGGTGGGTCCATTCTTGTGCTCGGGCGTCTCTGCAAGTTAATCCTCCCGGGGCGGAGGCTTGAACATGGAGCCATGAGGAAATGGGGACCGCGCTGACCGCTGGCGTGCCTGAGCATAGGCGGATCTGGGCTCCCATTTCAGCACTGCGGAAATTTGGTTAAACGCTGGACTACTGGCCCAAAGGTTAGCGGTTCCAACCCACCCAGTGGGGCCTGGGAAGACCGGCCTGGAGATCTGCCTCCGAAGGTCACAGCCTTGAAATCCCTGTGGTGCAGTTCTACTCTGCTCATATGGGGTCGCCATGAGTGGGAAATGACTAGTCGGAAACTAACAACACTCACTGGCAGTGTTTGTGCCTGTTTTCTTCCTGGCAAAATGGTCGAAGAGCAGGGCTCCCATCATCAGGTGGTGGTTATAAGGGTAGAGTGAGATAGAGCCTGGCACATAAGTGCCGGATCCATGGGGCTGCTCATGGGCAGGCTCCCTGCTGCCTGTTTCCCCATTAGTACAGATGTTCTAGAACCCAGGCTAGGAAGGCAAAGACATCGAACCAGTGAATGATGATGTGTGCTCAGCCTCCCCACAATGGCCCCGTTTTACAAGTCAGGAGACCGAGGCTCAGAGGTAAAGATGCTTGCCTAAGTGCACCTTGTATAGCAGACAAAGATTAGAACCAGCTCTCACCAGCGCCCCCGCTGTGGGACAGCCCATGGGCCTGAGAAGTGTTGTCTTCCTCCCGCCTTCCCTCAGGTTATGCAAATGAGGTGGGGGAGGCCTTCCGCTCTCTGGTGCCAGCAGCTGTGGTGTGGCTGAGCTATGGTGTGTCCAGCTCTTATGTGCTGGCTGATGCCATCGACAAGGGCAAGAAGGCTGGAGATGTGAGTGTTAGCCACCTGCCCCTACTGTGCGACATCCTACTTCCCATGTGGTTCATTCCATAGTTTGCATGTGGTAAGGCCCATCCCCGCTTATGGGATTGTTCACCCCTCATAACCTTACCTGTGGTGCAGTCCATACCCCAGTCTGCATGTGGTAGAATCCACCCTCCCCACAATGTACCCTCAGCCTTGTATATAGTGCAGTCCTGACCCAACTCTGGGATAATTAATCCTCAGTCCTGCATGTGGTCTAGTCTATACCCCAGTCCTGCAAGTGGTACAGCCTACCCACAGCCCTGCATGTGGTCTAGTCTATACCCCAGTCCTGGGATGTGATGGAGTCCATTCTCAGCCCTTCTGTGTAGTACAGTCTTCCCCCAGCCCTGCATGTGGTACAGTCCAGAACTCAACACTACTCCAGTTTGGTTTTCCCTCCTCCGTGTGTACCGGCCACCTTCTGCTCCCTGGTCCAGCCTCATGCCTCTTGTCCCAGAGTTCCCAGCCTCCACCCCAGGCTGTGTTATGCCACTTGTGTCCACAGATGTCAAGCCCAGAAGCAAGCCGCAGTACCAGGGTGACGGTGGCTGTGGTGGACACCTTTGTGTGGCAGGCTCTGGCCTCTGTGGCCATCCCAGGCTTCACTATCAACCGCGTGTGTGCAGCCTCCCTCTACGTCCTGGGCACTGCCACCCGCTGGCCTCTGACTGCCCGCAAGTGGACCACCACTGCACTGGGGCTGCTGCTTATCCCTGTCATTGTCCACCCTATCGACAGGTGGGTGCCCCTCCCAGCCTCAGGGGTCATCCACTCAACAGACATGGAATTAGGCTTGGAGAGGTGTGGGACTTGCTCACATTGCACAGAGCAATGGCAGTTGAGGCAGGGCTGGCCCTCGGGGCTCCAGAGGGATAAAGGACAGTCTGTGCCCTTGTCATATGATCTGGCAGGTACTTTGGCAGTAAAGGAAGGGGGTGCCTCGAGGGTATGGGACACAGGACAAATACATTCCCAGAAAGAAAGTCTAGTGTTACAAAGGCAGCCAGGAGCAGGTACACCTTGGAGGGGGTGGGTTTTGGGTGTATTGGTGACAGAAACCCAATTCAAACTGGGTTAAGTAAAATAGGAATTAATTGTTTTGTGAAACCAAAAAGTCCAGGTTGTGTTGCTTTCAGGCATGGCTGGATCTAGGCCCTCAAATGATGTCGTTAGGGGTCTGGATCTCCCCACCCTGCTGCCCTTCTCCCCATCCCACCCCAACCCACTCTGCGTTGGTTTCAATCAGTTTCCCCTCATTTTAGCATAGATGGCTTTCATCCCACCAGCTTAACAAGCCCCATGGGAAGCTTCTAAATAGTGACAGCAAAAATCTCAAAGAAGGCTGTCATTGGTCCATCTTGGACCAGGTGCCTACCTCTGAGCCAGTTCCTCTTTTCTGATTGGCCAGGGTTAGGTCATATGCCTTCTCTTAGAACCAGAGATGGGGCAACCCAACAGACTAGCCCTAAAATGAGGCATTGTCTATCTTTGTGGCTTCTCCTGAGCTACTGGAAGGAGGAGTCATTCACCAGGGGAACATAACTGACCCTGAGGACCTGAGCAAATCCTTTACCCTCTGTGTGCCTCAGTTTCCCTCACTGAAAAAAGAGGAGGAAGTCTTGATCCTGGCTTCCCCAGGTAGCCAAAGCTGGGAGGAGGGGAGAGAGAACAGGTCTTTTCACCTGGATGGCATTTGTATCCCACATCCAGGAGTCCTTCTCCCTAGCCCTGGCTTTCTGCCTTCTGTTCCACTATTAGCACTCACGGCCCCCTGCTCACCATCCCCAATCTCTGCTCAGGTCTGTGGACTTCCTCCTGGACTCCAGCCTGCGTAAGCTGTACCCATCAGTGGAGAAGCCCAGCTCCTCCTGACCCCCCTCTGGTACCTGGCCTGTGGGTTGGCCCACTCTTTGCTCCATGCCAGCTTCCTCCTCCTGCCCAGGGATGTGGGTGCCTGGCTCCTTGGTGTCCTAGGTCCTGGCACCCAAGTGGGTTTGAGCTGGACTGAAGCTTAGAGACAGGCCTGGAGGAGCCACGCTGCAGTTGGACCCTGTCTGCTTCCCTGGAATCCATGAGCCTAAGTGGGATTGGACCCTGGGTGGACCCAGCCCCAGCCCTGTCTTCAACATGAAAGTAGCACCCTTCCAGTTGATGGAAGAGGAGACTGAGGCTCAGAGAGGGCAAGGGATATGCCCAAGATCACTCAGGAGGCGAGGATCCAGGCCTCCCAGCTGCTCAGCTGAGGCACCCCATGGCACATGGAAAAATGGGGGAGTGTAGTAGCGGGGACACCTGAGGATTGATCCTCCTACCTCCCCATCCCTGGTGCAGGGGCTGCGGGGGCCTGGCTGGAAGGCAGGATAGTTCTGGGCCAGGCCCTCCCAGGAGCCCAATAAAGCCTCAAGAATTTGAGTTTTATTCTGCTTTTCTGTTGGGGATGAGCAGGGTATGATGGTGGGGAGCAGGGCTGGGGCCCCCAGGCAGAGGCTCACTTCTGCAGCCAAGCATCCCTCACAGAGCCTGGTGCTGGGCCCTGCTGGTGCCTCCCAGTCCACCAACACTGCCCTGCAGGTGCCTGGGGTTTCACCATTGGTGCTCCAGGGCCCTCTGGGGTAGACATTGCCCACTTACTGCAAGCCTCATTAAGCACCGAGGCTCTAGGAGGGGAGCCTGTTGGGCAGATACCAGCTGGGCCTGAAGGCAGCCCCCTGTCTGAGCACCTCATGAGACTCACCATGAGGGGACTCGGGAGTCCTGGAGAGAAGGGAGCCTCCCTGGGCGTGGTGAAGGAGGCTTTCCTCCCTGATTCTGGGCCAGACCATTTTGTTGGCAGCTAAGAAGGGTGGAGAGGTGAGGAGGGAGGGGTTCAGTCTAGTTGAGTGAGGTAGGGGGGCTGGTGTGGAGCATGGGGTGGACACAGCCCAGGGCCCCTCTCACTCAGCCCCACAAATCAGCCTTCATCAGGACTCTGGCCCTGCCCCTCACCTCCCAGCTGCAGCCAGGTGGGCTAAACCCATCCAGGTGGGGCTGCCTACCCCTGGGCTGGACTTATAGGGGCCAGGGGTCAGGCGGGCTGCTGGTGAGTCAGGATGGGGACGATGAGATCGTGGTTCCTGCTCTAGGGGTGTCTGCAGCTGCAGGGTGAGTTTGACGACTTCCTCTGGGGCTGGGGGTCCCTCAGGGTGGGGTGGGCCTTTCCCTGCCACCCTTCTTGCTCCATGCTGGCCAGGTCCCCTTCCCAAGCCCCCCCGACCTCTGCCCAGTCTACTGCTGCTCCCTCTGGCCCCCTTAAGTGCTCTGAGTCTCCCTCATTCCCATCCTTCTCCCCTCAGTTCCCACATCCCTGCTCAGGCTGATAACCACCTAGCATTCTCCCATCCCCTCCCTCCCACCTCCCCTGTGGAGCCTGCATCCCTGTGATATCTCCCACGAATTCCTTGCTCACTCCAGCTTCCAGCCTCAGGGCTCTCGCTAACGCTAGGACTGACCAGCTCTGCTTCCGGCTTCTGTGTTCCTGGTCTATAGTCTAAGCTGTCAGCATGCCCCAGCCTTATCCTCCTCTCCATCACCTACCCCCCTGTGCCTCTGAGCCCCACACTTGGCTGGAAATCCCTTTCCTCTTGGGCAGCTCTGAGCATCCTTCAGGACCACTGCCCCTTAGCTGAGCCCTCTGTGAGCCCCCTCTGGTCCCTGGTTTCCTCGCTGGTGGTCCCGCCTTGTAAAGAACTACTGGTGTGCACATGCACAGATGTCAAGAGCCCACGGCTCTTCATCTTTGGGTCCTGGGGACTAGCACGTAGTAGGTGCTCACATGAGGGGCTCTCAGGCTCCGCAGGCCACGGTGGAGGGGAGAAAGTCTGTGGACCTCAGATACACCTTACCTGGCTCCTGCTCCACGCTGGAACAGTGGACTGAATGGGGAAGTGGGTACAGTTGGAGAGGGTTCTGGGCAGGCTCTGCTGGCCACACCCTGACCTAGGCCGTTCTCTGCACACCAGCCTGGGCTGGGCTGCCGGGGGACAACCTCCTGCAGGAATGTAAGCAGACAAAAGTCCTCCTGGCAGTGAGGAGGGAGCCCCAGCTCGATGGCCGCCACCTGCGTCTTGGTTCCTGCCCACCCTCCCTGGTCCCTGTCATGCCTGGCTATGTGGTCTTTGCTGCCCCATTTAAGGCTTATGGCTTCATCTGGCTGGTGAAGGGCCTGTTGAGGCTAATGGGGACAAGGCTGTCAGGAGCCTGAGGGTACCTGGGAGATTTTGGGGGAGAGATGCAGAGCTGGGGTACCTGGGCTGGAGAAAGGGGTAGAATCAGATCATACTGACTTGCTGTGTGACCTTGGGCAAGCCACAGCCTCTCTGAGCCTGTTTCCTTTTTCTAAAAGAAGCAAAGGCCTGAATGTACAGAATTGGTGGCCAAGGGCATGATGCAAACTTGCTATTTGTCATCTGCATGTTTACCACATGCCCTTGCTTGTATTTGTTCCTTTCATACGCAACAGTTCTACGAGGGAGGTGAAACTATCATCCTGTTTTCCAGATGAGGAAACCAAGGTTCACAGAGGGGAAGGCCCCTCTGTCTGCCACCAGGTGCAATTTAGCACATCATTCTTCAAAGCTTTTGAGTGAGAATGGACGTTGAGCATGTCCTAGAAAGGAAACTGAGGCCCAGAGAGAGCAAGTGACTGATGCCACACAATGAGGTAGGACCAAGCTGGGGAGATACTCGTCCTGGCTTCTTAAGGCGCTGGTATCCCCTCAGATCTCAGGGAAGATGGTGGAATTCTTTGCTGACCTGGTCTACACGCCCCCACCTAGTCGCTCAGAGCAGCCCCCTCTGCTGCCTTCCGCCATTGAGTCAGCTGCACAGCCAAGCGGTGAGCACTGTCTACTGCCCCTTAGCCCATCTTGGGCCCTGCACCCCCAGAGATCCTGCAGGAGGCTATAAGGGGGCTGGGGGGGCTACCTTTTCCAGTGGTCCAGGGGAGCAGGCAGCGATCTCATGGCCCCCTTGGTGTGAGCCAGACTGGCCTGGGAGTCTGTATTTGGAACTCGGGATTCTCCTGGATGCTTCTCTCCTGTCCCCTTCTCTGGCTGGGCTGTCCTGGGAACTTGTCATGAGCTTAAGTGTTTGCTTTCTGGTCACCCTGACATATGCCAGGCGCCCATTAATGCCTCTTGCTTCCCTGCCAGCCCGGAAGCCCCCACCTTGCCCCCAGTCTCCTCGGTTACTGGATCTCTGGCTGGGCTTGGACATCTGGACTTCAGCGTGAGGCTTTGACCTGATTCATCCCTTCCCGCAGGTGGGGGGGCATCAGCTGGGCTGAGGCAGTGCCCCAAGGGGAAGGGTCCCTGGTTCAGGGGCTCCTGTGCGTCCAGTTCCAAGCTAATATACCCCTGGTGAGAGCAGGAAGAGATGCAGGGCAGGGCGGCAGCGGGGGAAGGGCCCGGGCTTCTGATGACCTGGTCCCAGCTTTGCCTGCCTCCCTCTTGCTGTGTGGCCTTGGGCAAGCCCCTCAATGTCTCGGAGCCTCGTGTCCTCCCCATCTGGTTTTCATTCCAGCCCAGGATGGGGCCAGCACCAGCACTATTCTCCTAGGCTCTGAGCTCCATGTGGAATTTGCCGTGTTTGGCAGCTCCCATCAGCCCTTACAGCTATATGTGGATGAGTGTGTGACCAGCCCCAGCTGGGATCTGGAAGTGGCCCCTGTGTACTACACCTTCATTGGGAATCATGGGTACTGGACCTGGGTGAGGGAGACAGGGTAGGGTGTAGACTATTCAGTCGGTGGCGTCTCTGGGGAGGCTGGGGCAGGGGCTGAGAGCCTGTCTAGAGCTAGAAGAGACGGATGTCCAAATGGTGTTCTCTGGGAGTTCTTGGGTGGTTGTCTCTAGCATAAGAGCCCTTTACTGGCTTCTTCACCTCGGTTGCCTCTGCCCCGCTGTAAAATGAGGAGAGTGCCAGAATCTTCATAGCACTGTTATGTAGATAGGTTGAATGGGGAGATGCTTAGCTCAGGGCCCAGCATGCAGAATTCTCAACAAATGATGGTGTGTGATGGTTTGAGACCAGACTGGGGCTAGACCCCAGTTCAGGTTTGTCCTCTGGGCCATGCTGACCTCCAGCCTGGGCCTTCCAGGTGCTTGGTGGATGGCAAGGATGCCCGTTCCCGCTTCTTGCCTTGAGAGGTCCCCGAGAGACTGGAGCTCTCCTTCCAGGCCTTCAGTTTTGCCGATTCTCCTGATGACGTGAGTGGAAGCAGGTGCACTCAGGGCCTGAATCCCCACCCCCATCTCCCCACATTTCCTCAGCCTGGGGTCTCTGTCCCCACAGGTTTATGTCCACTGCCAGCTGCTAGCTTGGGACCCAAAGGTCCCATCTGATGCTACCACGAAAGCCTGCTCCTTCCACAGGAACACAAACAGGTGAGTCATATACACTGAAAGTGTACTGCATGCCCTAGCCTGTAACAGGCGTTTAATGTGTATGACCTCATTAATTGCCTGTGGGAGTCCCTGGTGGTGCGAATGATTAACACACTTAGCTGTTAACTGGAAGGTTGGGGGTTTGAGTCCATCCAGAGGTGCCTTGGAAGAAAGGCCTGGCAATCCCCCTCTGAAAAATCAGCCATTGAAATCCCCATGGAGCACATTTCTACTCTGACGCACGTGGGGTTGCCATAAGTCAGAGTCTACTTGACTGGCAACTGTTTTGTTTTTAATTGCCTGGGAGGTAGGGTTTTGGCAGAAGAGGAAACTGAGGCTCAAAGTGGCTCAGACTAACCTTCCAAAAAGCTTGGCCCTCTTGTAATAGTTCCCCATGGCCAGCCAAACCAGCCTTAATTGCCTTGGCCTAGAATGGGCAGTGTGAGGTATATTGGGAATGGAGACTTTGGACTGTGCTTGAGACACAGGTTCGAATCCCAGTTCCAATTTTTGTTGGCTGTGGCATCATGGGCAAGTCAGTGAACTTCTGTAAGGCTCAGTTTCTTCACCTGTAAAATACAGGTCTGGCCTTTGGGGTCTCCAGTTTCTGGTACACTGACTTAAGCAGACCCTTCTCTACCCCATCCTCATCGTCCCTGTAGGTGGGAACTTCTGGACAATGCCTCCCTGAGCAGTACCTGTAACTGCTGTGAGGTTACCTGCCCAGCCCCACGGTCACCCTATCAAAGGGCCCTAGCAGGTAGGAGCCCCCTGGTTTGGAGGGGAAAGAGTGAGCTCTGAGGCTGGGGAGGCAGTTGGCCCTAGGAGCCACTCACGATCCTGTGTGAGTGGGCCTACAGAAGGCACCATCTTGCTCCTAAAGACTTTTGAGGAGGCTGACATTGGCCTCCTGAACTGCAAAGACCCAGTTGAAGTAACACGTTGATCAGTAGAACCAGGAAAGGGGCTGGCCCCTGTCTGGGGAGCCTCCTACTCTGTGTGACCTTGGGCAAATCCTTTCCCTCTCTGGGCCTCAGTTTCCCCAAGTGTGAAATGAGAGCATTAGGTTGGTTTACCACTTTTGAGCTTTTGTTGTTAGCTGCTGCCAAGTCACGTCATGGCGACCCCGTGTATGCAGGGTAGTACTGTGCTC